TGACTCCAGTGCTTTGCTGCGAAAAAAGCATCTGAGCCCTCTGGGTGTGTACTTGCCTTGAGGCCTTCCAGATGCCAAATGTTGGGTTGACAGGGGGGGTTGCCCCCGCCCCCCACGTGCCAGCGTGTTCGTTGCTGTCGAAAAGAACATCCCAGCCCCACACCGCACGTGACTTCTCCGTTATCCGTGGTTTCAGATATCATGTATCACGGGGTCCGATTCTTACAAGGGCTTAGGCTTTGCTTGATCCCAGCTACAGTTGCAGGCGGCGCCGCGCGCCAAAGTTTAAGCGACCGCACCCCGGTGAGAAAACTAAGGCCGCGGCACTTGCCAAACAGAGCTCTTACCGCTTGCTGCAAAGTTGGTCCGTTTCTGACAATATCACAAGAAATGAAGCTTTGCTAGGCAGGCGACCAACCTGCAGGAACGTGTCTCTGCTTTGAAGACACAAGCCCGCTGCGCACCAGCCCTGCTTCGAGCAAATGAGAAGGCCGCGTAGTCGAATCCGTGATTCGAACACGCCCAGTTGGAGAAAATGTTGCTTCCAGTGCTTTTTCTGCCGCAAAGTCTTGAGTTGTCTCGACTAAACAATCGTTCAAGAAAAGAATGCCGGTTTTGGAACGCCCACAAAGGTCTAAATCCTCATTTGCCTAAAAGTCCAACCAGCGCCTTATGTGAAAGTGCAAAAAACTATCCAAGGGTCCCGTGGCTAGACCCATTAGCTGTGCGAAAAAGCTCAGGTTTGGCTACCTGGTGCCCGGTGGATGTGGCTCCCAACGCCTCCAAATCTGAGCCAGGCGAGCCGGCAGTGCTTCGGCAGTCGCACAAGTCAGTTTGAGCCATTGCAGCCGAGGTCAAAATTTAGGAGTGCGTAAGAAAGTGGGCCTCTAAAAGACGATGTTCCTTTCGGTTTCCCCTTTAACCAAAACAACACACACCCAACAACAAAAAAACGCAATTCCTTAAAAACATCAGCACACACCCACACCCATACTAGCTATCACTGCAGCCATGCTAGATTAAGCCGAAAACCAATTTCTCGAACTCAACAAGTCAAAAAGTGCTCGACTTTCCGACTTTTCAGATTTCCGACTTTCGACTTTTCGGATTTTGACCCGACTTGTCGACGTTTTGACTTCTCGACTGTTCAACCCAACCTTACTTTTCGGGTTTTGGCCCTGCTTTGCACGATTTTGACCCTGACATTTCCACGTGTTGGAGTTCGACCCCTTTTCCACAATTTCAAACCTGAGTTTTCAACTTTTCGGGAATTCGACCCTGTCTTTTTCAACTTTTCGGTTTTTGCCCTGGACTTTTCGACTTGGCAGAAACTGAGCATTGGCTCATAGAACTCAACTTAGAAGTCCAAGAAGGCTATTTGCCGTACACTTCGGGTGGCCCTAATTAGAGAACTTCTCGATCCTCCCCAAAAATGTTTCGGAAGCCAGAAGCCGTCGGGCCGTTCGGGCCTGCAAAAGGGCAAGTGTTTGAAGCATGAACTTTGGCGACAACATTGAAACAGAGCACGCAGCGCAGCTTCTTTCATTGCTCTGAAGCTTTGTTGGTAAGCCCTCAACATTCTGTTCGGGCTTTGAGGTGCTTTTGGCGGAGAGCGCACCAAACTTTCGGACCTGCTGTAGATGTGTAGGGATATGTGTTTGTGCGTTCGTGTGTGTGTGTGTGTGTGTGTGTGTGTGTGTGTGTGTGTGTGCATGTGTGTGCATGTGTGTGCATGTGTGTGTGTGCATGTGTGTGCATGTGTGTGCATGTGTGTGCATGGGTGCGTGTGATGGATGTGCAGGTGTGTGTGTGTGTGTCTCTGTGTGTCTTTGTGTGTCTTTGCGTGTCTCCACGTGTCTCCGCGTGTCTGTGTGTGTGTGTCCCTGTGTCTCTCTGTGTCTCTCTGTGTCTCTCTGTGTCTCTCTGTGTCTCTCTGTGTCTCTCTGTGTCTCTCTGTGTCTCTCTGTGTCTCTCTGTGTCTCTCTGTGTCTCTCTGTGTCTCTCTGTGTCTCGCTGTGTGCGTGTGTCTCTGTGTATCTCTTTGTCTTTCTGCGTGTGTCTCTCCGTTTGTGTCTCTCTGCGTGTGTCTCTGCGTGTGTCTTTGCGTGTGCCTCTGTGTGCGTCTCTGCGTGTGTCTGTGTCTCTCTGCGTGTGTCTCTCTCTCTCTCTGTGTGTCTCTCCGTGTGTGTATTTTTTTTGTGTGTGTGTGTCGCTGTGTGTGTGTGTCTCTGTGTGTCTCTTTGCGTGTTTCTCTGCGTGTGTCTCTGCGTGTGTCTCTGCGTGTGTGTGTGTGTGGCTGTGTGGGTGTCTCTCTCTCTCTCTCTCTGTGTGTGGTGTTTGTGTGTGTGTGTTTCTGTGTGTGTGTGTGTCTCTGCGTGTCTCTGTGTGTGTGTGTGTGTCTGTGTCTGTGTCTGTGTCTGTGTCTGTGTCTGTGTGTCTCTGTGTCTCTGTGTCTCTGTGTCTCTGTGTTTGTTTGTTGTCTGGTTGCTTGTACGTTTCTTGTTTTTCGGTCTCACTGTATCAACTTTACACTTTGGAATGTTCCCAAAGTGTATTTGAACGGTTAAATGTATTTGCGCTCAAATCTAACCCCGGACATCTCCCGTCCGGTCTTCCGCGGCCAGAAATTCAGGCAGGTGCGACTGCTATCAGGCAAATACTGTCCCGAGCTTGGAAATGGATTTGCCAGGGAGTAGCGGCACGGTTTGAAGAACCAGTTGCCCGGGTAAGCCACCATCAGATCATCAAACCCTGGGGAAGCGAGAGTTCGTCGGAGTACCAGAAACAGAAGGCCACCCTTTGATTCTTTGCACGTGTTTGGGCCCAGACTCCTTTTCCAGGTTTGATTACGAGGCGCCCTTCAAAGCGGGACCAAAAGAAACTTGAAACGCAAGTGGTGTAACTGAGCTTGAACAGGTGGCTGGCCCAACCGTGCACTCCAACGAATCCTTGAAAAACAAAAATACATGGGAGGCCGCCTGTCAATTTGTCAGACATGACCGGGCCAAGCCTTATTAGACAGTCTTCTATCGATGGTGGCCCCTATGCCCACCCCCGCTTGGCACATTCAGGGCAGATGATGCTGATGATGATCATGGTCATTGTCATGATCATGATCATGATCACGATCATGACGATGATGATGATGATGATGATGATGATGATGATGATGATGATGATGATGATGATGATGATGATGATGATGATGCTGCTGCTGCTGCTGCTGCTGCTGCTGCTGCTGCTGCTGCTGCTGCTGCTGCTGCTGCTGCTGCTGCTGCTGCTGCTGCTGCTGCTGCTGCTGCTGCTGCTGCTGCTGCTGCTGCTGCTGCTGCTGCTGCTGCTGCTGCTGCTGTGTTGAGATGGAGCATTGATGCGCAGCCGGCAATTCACCCGGAAGCCATTAACCGCGGTCAACATTGATTGATGTCCCCAGGTGACATGGACGCGTGGTACGTAGCCGTCTCCCCTTCAAACGACCTTGTGGTACGTTGGGTTTGTACGTCCCATGCCATCCCTTCACTACATTTCGTGCCCTTCCCCTCGTGGTTTCCTTAGAGATCCTTTAGCTGGTTCCAGCGCCCAGAAAACCCTTTTGGGCCATGGTTGCAAGCTATGAACCGTGATCACCATTTTGGTTGTCTTGTTGGAGGGACCGCCGCAATCCCCTTGCCAGATCACTCCTTTGTTAAGCTGGCCCGTGTTTGTGCTTTTTGTTTGTCAGTGCTATCATTTCGTAGCCCAAACAGAATCATACCGCGTTTTGAAAGCCAGTTTGCAGCCGATTCATTTTGATATAAAGGTGCCCTTCCGCCTTTAGGGTTATCCAAGAAAAGGGGGTCCACAATTGCTGACTATCTGTTTGGCAACGGCCCCAGACTAGCATCCAACAGGTCGATCAGGAGTCACTGTGTCACGACATGAGGCACCTGTCCACTTGTTTGAGTTCCTATTGGTTTCCCTTCAACATCATCCCAACAGGGCTGCAACCATAAGTGTGCGAACTAAAAGGAATGTTTCGCGTACTACAATGGTGCTGAACAGTGGTGACTTTCACCGCGGTAGTGCAGACTCAGGAAGCGAAACTGCACGGCGATGGTGTCGCAGAAGATGTTGTTTTTCCTCGCAAAAGGGATCACCGCCCATATATGGCATTAGTGTCAGTGCTCCAATAATTTTCCAGTGCCATCGTTTTGTTCAAAACGACATCCTGGGTTCCATCTCGCTACTCAATAGAAGAGCAGCTGAGGCCGGCAATCTCGACCCAAGCCAGCCAGGCGGGCAAGCGGCGTATTTTGGCGTGCGGACTCGGGATTCCTGGCTTGATATGCGCTTCTGTTTGATTCAATTCAGCAGCTGTTTCGAAGGAAAGTGCGCTTGCAGCCCTTGATCTAAGCCCATGTTTGGGACCTGTCCGAGTCATTTCTTCCGTTACATTCTTTGTTTGCCGGTGTTGACAGCTGTCACCGTCGGCTGCGTTCGGCAATGCTTGGTTTGTTGTTCGATGACTGGGTGGAGACAAAGTTGAGCAACATCCTGATCAGGGGCACGGGGATGGACAAAGCTACACGTGGGCATGATGACATCATCACTTGTGGAGAAGGCAACCACATTGACTATTCTTTGTGCAAGACCTCGGGGCCGGCGTATTCCCAAAAGAAGCTGAACAGCGACATAGGGGGTGTCTTGTGATGGAACCCCCTTTTTATTTTAGTTGGTTGAAATGGGGACAACAAAAGGAAAGATGAGGAAAGCCAGCATGGGGTCGCCTAATTTCAAGACAAACCCAAGGTGTCAAAAGCTGAGATGTGGAGGCCAATGTTGGATTCCTGAGTCGTAAGGATTGACTTTCTCAGGATCGGGGGGGCCATTGTCGGCCCCCGCCGATTTTGTGAAGGCGTGGTGCGCTTCGAGACCTCAGTGGTGGGCTTCCAAGCGGAGGACTGGCCGCAGCTGGAGCCAGAGCCTTAAAGGAATATAACGGAATGGTTGGGGGGTTGGGCAGTCAGAGAGCAGAAGGGCAGTGGACTGGGCCAGGCCTGAGCCAAGAGGAACTGGGCTGGCTGCGGTTCCTAGAACACTAGGGGGTGACCGGAGTTTGTGGAGCATGGGTTTGGGGTTGCGCGACATGGGGCGGGGGGGGGGGGACAGATTTTGATGCGGGGAAGGGGTTGGGCATGGGGTCTGGGATACTGAAGTGGTTTGAGGGTCTGATCGCTTCCCGGCCCTGGGACCCAGGCGAATTTACCGGTCAATGTTCCGGAAGCGTTATTTACCCCCGCCCCCAACAGCTTGGCCTCGTTTGCTTTTGTGGCTTTCTGAGTGTTGCGGCGAATGGTTCTTCTTCGTTGCCCTTGCAGGTGCTACCACATGGAAAAGTTTCTTGAACCCCCGCGCAAAGAGCCGATAAAATGAAACTACTAGCTTGGAGGCTGATGACTGCAGTTCATCTCTGGGAGGGAGCGCAGCTGCCTGTGGAAATCCACAGAAAGGGCAGTCAGACATGGGTGTTTCTCAGCATGTGGGGGACCATGAACTTTGTGTTCTTCAGCAACAAGCAGAAGGTACCAGCTGTTTGGCAAGGTTTCGAGACGACCTGCAGTCAAACCGTGGGGGGGATGTGCAAGGGGACATAAGACATACAAGGAATCCTGTTTAATGAGCGCCTTTTCAGGTACGGTCAATGCCGCCCAGGCAAAGGTGGAAACCAGCAGTCTGACACCCCCCATGTCTTTGGTCAAAGTGGGTCGAGGGTCCATTTGGGAGGGACATGCGAGCACTCACCCTGAAGTTGGCCGAAAACATCGCCAGTTGGCTTCTGAGGCCGTACTTTCGCCAGTTGTTTCTGGAGATGGCGGCGCCAGGCGCACACGCTGGGCACATAGGCGTCCTTCTCGGCACATGCACTACATGTCTCTCATCTGCATTTGCATTTGTATTTGTACATGCACGGCAGTAGTTTGCGTCCGGCCGTCCGGCTAAAATATCAGTTACCAGGTCCATGACAAAAGGACACCTAGGGCCGGGCAGAAACAAGCAAAGCTTTGGACAGAAGGCAGCATGGTTCAGGAAGGGCGCAGCTTGCCTCATCGTCACTGTTTCTTTGTGACAAGCGACGTGGTCATAAGGATGGTCCTTGAGATTATGCAGGCCAATTTTCCATCATTCGTTTGTTTGACTGGGTCTAAGTCGGAAAGCAGACTCCCAAGTGGAGAGAAAGCCGCGCGCCCGACCCCAAGCCGTAGCCGGCAGGTACTGGCTTGGAGCAGGACTTCAGCTACAGAGCCCCCGGGCGAGGCACGCTGATTCTTCTTCAGGAATCTACCCGGGGGATCCGCTTGGCCCGAAGTGGCAGTTTCAGTAGAACCCACATGAAATCCAGTGGCCCCTGGAAACTTCTTCGTCGACGAGGCAGTCTAAGCTCTGGCGCTGGATAAGATGTAGATGCCAAGAGCGTTTTGCAGCCGTCAGTGGTGGTGCAATGCTGGTCTCCTCAAAGTGGAGTGGGTCAAACAGAAAACTTTGAATGATTGACTGTTTGCTTGCTACGTTGTCGCTTGGTGCACCCTCTTCCCCTTCGACGCTCCGAACGCGAGAAATCGGAGGCGATGATGACACTTGGTCGGCGTCGCCCACTGCCCCAAATGCGCACCGCCCAAGCTTCTGATTGGGACCGCGATGGGTGCGAGAACCAGCCAAAGGGCGTTTTCAGAAATGGGATCCGTCAATTTCACTGCTCGCTGTCTGACATCTTCGGCTATCCTACTTTTGGACCAGAGTCTGTAGCTGCTAGACTTTCTGTTCGGTGGCTTTGCATTTCTAAGGCCCGGTGGGAGGCGCCCTACGTGGGAGCCTTGGGTGTTGGCACGGGCAGACGCCGCGATCGCTTTAGGCTTTCAGGCAGCGCAAAGTAAATACAAGGCTCCAGCCGTGCTTTCAAGACCACAGTCTTGCAGGGGTCCCTCCTTCTTTTTGTCTGGGAGAATTCCTAGTTGGCGAATGTCACTTGGCTGCAAAGGGTGGCCATGTCACACACGGAGCAGCGCTTGGCTATGCCAGCCTGGAAGAGCTTCACCCCCCATGCGCTGGAGAAGGCATGTCTCAAATGGCACTTCTTTGCTCGGGGTTTCTGGGTCTCGCTTTGTTCACCGTGGATCGACCTTTAAATGAGTGTTGCCGACAATGTAAATCGGATGCCTAGGATCTTGGAATTTCCGCTTTCCTGTTGGTCCCCAATGCTTTTCAAGGGTTATCCACTTGTGGGACAACTCCACCTCTTGACCAGGTCTGCCTCCTGGCCACCAATCTGGGCTCCCTTGCCACGCCAGGGTTTGCAACTTCATCCATAAAAGTTCCTTGGGTATTCCTTCATCCAGATTGGTGAATAGTGATTTGCCCAAATTCTCTACTTAAGAGTATTGTGGACGTATTTAACCTTCCCAAGTAAAGTTGATGTTATATCCCTTTGTTGTGTAAGTTGTCCCAAACCCCGCCTTGTCCCGGACTTCAAAAGGTTCTTTGGTTCAGGTGCAGCAGCACTGGCGAAGCGGCACCATCTCCACCTGGCACAGCTTCGAGGCGAGATTGGTCCCGGGGAATCAATGAAGTACACGCTAGGGGACATGGACCAGGCGGTGTAATTTCTTCCCTAAGCGGGAAGGCACGCCATGACAGTTCTGCCACTTAATCACCATCAAAGGCGAACTTTTCCCGGGGTAGTCAAAGACAACCTGTGTTTTGTTTGACACGCTGTTGGTTTGTTGCCATGTTTATTTGTTGAAGAAGGTGCTTAACAACATTGTGGTTCCAGCTGCTTCATGTGCTTACTCTACGTCAGTTTGAGTTTATGCGATCCAGCCATCATGAGCCATCCAAGCAGATCGCGGACTGCCTGTTTGACCAGTCCTCTGTTTAAAGGGCAAATTTAGAGAACCTGTGCTTACTGGGGAAGCGATCCCATGAGCACCAATTCCCTTGTGCTTGGCACGGTATTCGTTGCTGGTAATGTTCGACTGCTAATTGAGGAATTGTCGCCGAGGCATCCGAGTTGATGTTGAATGTGGGTATGGATGTTCAACCAAAAAGGTAATTGACAAAAAATAAGTCCCACCCCCCACAAGCACTTCTTTGCCTTGTTCAGACAGAGGGGGCTATGCATTTGGGTTGAGCCAACCGTTTTGACATGGTCCAACAGCAAACCACATTTGACATGTTGCCCCAATTGTTTGAAACATCCTTCTTTGGGCTTCCCTTTGAAGGGCACCAGGGTCTGGCTGTTGAAGCATTCCCCCCCCGCCAACCCGCTGGCTCGAGCGCAGCCCTTGAGGCGCCGAGATTCTCCGCGCAGATGCCAAGAGGTTTGGGATAGTTGAGTCGCCAGAACCATCCGATTCATCCGCTCGTCCAGATGTGAGCAGAGTTTTGCAATGTATTCGCTTAGTACTCGAGGGAAATCTCTTCATGCTGCGGAGGTACCGCATATTATATAGGCTGTTCAAGGAAATCCTGCCCCAGGCAGGTTCGTTTAGGCATGTTTGCCTCACACAAACTTAAGAGTAGCCCCGAGAAAAGTTTGCAGGCACACTCCGTGACGCTTTTTGCGGCGCAGGCTCGCGTAGGCGCCCTTCCATGGTTTTACACACCCGCGGAGGTGTCCATGTGTAGGGCCGATACACCCAAAACAAAGCTCTACTCATGAGAAAAGAACGCTCTTTGTTGGTTGGTTTGACATGCATACGTATACGAGCATGCCATACATGCAGCATATCTATATGTGTGTGGATGCCTGTGTGCCAAAACAGCAACTGACCCCTTGCTGTTTGACGCATGTTACAAAAACGCGGCGTGAGATCGACCATTTGCGGAGGAACTCTCAGCTTTGTCACTTCCCAAATTCGGCATGCATTTGGGGACGTCCAGACATGGATGTGCCTGGGAGTTGTTGTCGTGTTTACTGGCCTGTTGGGACAACAGGGGGGCATCGATCACAAATTTACACCTCTTTTTGTGTGAGGTTGGAGAGCATTGCATGATGCAGCCTCAGGCTATGTGGGCCTCAACGGCCGATCCAATGACAATGGTTCGATTTATATCCCCCTTGAATGGGGGCTTTTCCAGAGATTCTGCATGTCCAAACATGAACCGTACCTGATTAATCACTGGGGGAGGTGGGTTGTGAATCACTATACTTCACTGCGGCAATCCTGACGCAAGCCAAAAAGGTGGTGGAGGCAGTTGAAAGCCAGGGCAAAGAGACAGGTCCACATGTGTAGTGCTCGAAAGAGGTTAGCCTTGGATTTCCACACCCGGACAACTCGCCAACCTCTTGTGAAACATTGGGGCATATTGGGGCAAACGCGACAGCCCCCGCTTTTCTTCTGGCTTTCTCCGAGGTGCGCAGCCAAGCTGCCCGGGTCCTTGGAGAAGGGTGCAGGTTTATCCCCCCCGGATTTTCCTTGGGAGACAAACGAATGTCCATGCCTTGATTTCCTGAAAGGGTCACACGTCAAGCCCCGTTCTTGGATCCTCTTTGCGGGCCAACAGAACACAGGGGCCGGCCTGTGGACAAACGTGGACACTCCCCTCAGGGCACCCCGGCTGGGGTATTCCCCTCCCCCTAACAACAAGCCCCGCCTCCAATATGTTAAAACGGTTCTCCACAAAACACACATTGCTTTAATTTAGGGACTGGTTTTCAGTTTTGTCATGCCAGAGACTAGCTTTAGTTGTGGAACAAAGTGCACTTTCCTTCCTTGGTCAAAAAGCTTACAGGATGCAATCTTCAATCAAGAGAGTTCGATGGTTCAGACTCCTTTTGATTTTGAGGGTTTCTTTGGACAAGGACTCCTTTCCGTTTGGCACCAAAAAACTTGCATGCAGCTTCTTCAGCAAGGGATTTAAGCAGTACAAGTTGGGGTGTGGAGCCTGTGTGTTGAAAGGAGGTTGGGTGGTTTTCCGGGGATCCCCAATACTGGGGCCGGTAGGGGAAGTCACTGGTGACGGTTTAGTATTGGTTTCAAATTGGCTATTCTAGATTGACAAATAGACGCTTCCCCGCCCTGGATTTGTTGAAGATATGTTTCTCATTAGGGGGATCTTCATTATTAGCAGGACGTTATTAGGATTATATTGGTTGTTTCCTTTGAACGACACTAAGTACAAGGAGATCGCAATGATATGGCCAATTTGGGTGTTTGTTTCCAAGGGCAGTGCGCATGCCAGCCCTTTGCACGATCCCGCACTCAAAATTGAGGCGGGCGCAAGCAGCGAGGAGCCCGGGGCTCTCCTTGTCAGATCACCCTGGTTAATGTATCTGAAACTTGTTTACTGGAGGGGAACCAAGACAAAAGCAACTTTGTGGATTTTTTTTTTTTGGAAACGCCCTTTCGAAAATGGAAGGAGGCCATTTCAGGTGGATGCCCCCCCGGGCCCCCCCTTGAAGGCAAGTCATTCCTTTCGGGCTAGGGGTCAAAGGCACAACCCCGCGACAGCTTTGGTCGCACTATGTCGCACTTGCACACGGGCCATGGATCCAAGCGGAAGAATTGATGAAATCGGCACAGGAATCAATAGTATTGCTGAAATCGGCCAGGCTCACAAAAAGGCGCTGGTTGCAAAAATACGTTCGGGGCAGATGGAACCCCCAAAGCCGCCCCTTTGAATAGCAGTCGACTTAGCAGTCGGATTTTCTGGGGTGGAACTTGTCACGAAAGCTAGCTTCAGCTAGCTGCGGTTTCTTCCTGCGAAAGCCAGCTAACAGGCTGAAATCACGAAAATTGAGTTGTTCAATTATTTCGGCCAATGCAATTGAACACCCCAAGGATTTAGACCTCCCCTCATCCCACCCCCTGGTCCACCGCCCCCGCCCGGTGGAATGGGCTTGCACTCATTCGTTGTGACCTGATCCATGAGGGACCCTGAAACTGTGTTTTCTTCTCCCTTTCCTCCAATGAGACACCAAAGTAATCCCTACAATCAGAAACCAAGGTGGTTTGACCAATTCCAGCCTGAGTCGAAAAGAATTCTTTCGCGTGCTTGGGCCCCTGCTATGCAGCTTTCTGTGCAAGCTTGACTGCTGATCGGTTCCTTTGTGTCGAAAGGCGTTGACTTGGACCCAAAAACACATTTCCAGGATATCCGGTCTGCACATCCGAGACCACTTGCGTGGTCTTCCTCAGTCTTGTCAGGAAAGCGCCTCGCAGGAATCCGTGCGCAAGCGACATGCAGCGCGGAGCTGCTTTAAGACGGCTTGAGACACCTCTCGTTATTTCGTTTGTTCACGATGTGTCTGGTCACCATATCAGCTTGCGTAGCATCCTGAGAGCCTTTACTCGAGATAAGGTGTTATATTCCCGACAAGCTTTGGATGATCTCGACAAGGAAATAGTAAACCCCAACAGAAATATCCCAATTCCTCGACAATGCCAGCGCTTGTACGACTTGTGGGGGTCATGCATCGTGCCGTTACCGCTTGATTGCCGCCATGGCGGACAAAGCTGTCCTGGTGACTGGTGTAGCGCTGTTCCAAGTCTCGGGTGTAGTGCCGTTCCGGGCGCCTGGCGTAATGCTGTTCTAGAGTCGGGCGTCTTGCTGTTCCGGGTGCTTGGTGTCGTGCTGCGCCTGGCGTAGTGCTTTCCGGGCGGCTGGTGCAGCGTCGGGTGTAGTGCTGTTCCGGGGGTATTTTGATGTCGTGCTGTTCCCAGTCTCGGGCGCAATGGGCATTGCGCTGGTCCACGGTGGCTGGCATAGTGCTGCTGGAGCCCTTGGTGTAGTTTTTTCCGAGTGTCGGGCGGGCCCCTGGTGTAGCGCTGTTCCGATTGTCGGGCTTAGCGCCGTTCCTGGTAGTGGCGTTCCCAGTGTCCGATGTAGGGCTGTTCCTGCTGGCTGTTTCGTGGGTGTAGCTGCTGGGTGTAGCTGTAGCGCTGTAGGGTGAGGATGGTGGAGAAATGGAGGCGGAGGAGGATGCAGCAGGATGGAGGAGAATAGAAGAGGAGGAGCGGAGGAATGGAGGAGGAAGGTGCCTAAATTGCTTGCGAGCTAGCTGCTGTTCCTGTTCCAAGTGTTGGGCGTGGCGCTGTTGAGTGTCGGGTGTACTGGTGCCTGTTCCCAGGGTCCGTATACGGCTGGGTTGTCCAGTTTCTGGTGTACAGGCGCTTGGTGTAAACGCGGTGTATAACACCCAAGTTTCGGTGTAGCATTGCTTTCACAGTCTCTTCAGGGTGGTTGGTGCAGCGCTGTGCCGGCCCCTAGCGCAGTGCTGTTCCGAGTGCCAGGTGTAAGCGCAGCGCCTCGGTGCCTGATGTAGTGTTGTTGCGGTTTTTGGTGTAGCGCTGTTCCGGCCCCAGTGTTGTTCCGAGCCTCTGTGCTGGCGTATTTCTGGGCGCCTGGTTCGCGCTGTTCCTAGTGTCGGGCGTAGCGCTGTTCCGGGTGTTTGTGCTGTTCCTGGCTTGAGCGGTGATGTTCCAGTCTCGGCGCTGTTCGGAGTGGCTGCTGCCCGGCACCTGTTGTAGTGCTGACTTGTTGTTGGGGGCTGCCCTGTCTTGTTCACGGCGCCTCTCATGGTGCACCTGCGCAATCCACCCTTTTTCCACCCGATGCTCCTGCAACCATATTCAGACCACCGTGGTGGTTGCTTGGGACCATTTGACCTTTCGGGATGCCAAAGCTCCCGCGCTTCGTCGTCAATGAGTGGTCTGAATGGCACGGCGTCAAAATTGTTTCTCAACAAGCATTTGATGACCTGATGGTTGACACTGTTGTGGAAATCGCTGGGTCTGTTTCTATGGCGTAGAAGAAGGGGTTTGAGCCAATATGTATACGTGATAATGATACAAAATGGTTGGCTAAGGGCCAATGGTCTGCAATCATGTCATGACAGTAAAAACAGGAGGACGTGTCACCCAAAACATGGACCAAGTTTGGGAGCGCCACATTGGAACGCTTGCACTCCAGGACCCACTTCCAGAGATCACAGTGGAGCAGAAGTGTTTCTGCGGGCCTCCCAAGGGCTGGTCCCAAGTCTGAGGAAGGCTGAGAGGGATCTCAAACTGACAATTTTCTGGGTTGTCGGAAGTTGTCGGAAAATCTCCCTCAGGTCCAGCGGCTACATTCAGGAAGGAAACACAAGCACTTCGCAAGTTGGTCCTTCGAACGGTCAGGACGAGTCTGCTTTCTGGGTAGAAACCTGCTGCGGGTGCAAACCCTGAAGCTCGTCCAGGTCGAACTGGCCATTTGGGGAGTGGGAATCCCCTTTGAATTGGAGGGTCAGAAACGTTTGTCCCACCTATAGTTCCATCTAGGGCCGCTGTGAACTCCAAAGGTTTGTCACAATCATAACAAAGGCGACGAACTTTGTGAAAGTCGAATCCAACATTGCTGAAAACCTCATGCGACTATCACACGGCCACAGGAAGCTTCCGGCGCATTTGGTAACTCTCTGGTTGAGCCAAACCAGTTGGCTGGCTTTTCTACAATTGCTGACAGTGTCTCAGCCAACTATATAGCAACACGTGTTTGGCTCCTTGCAGGGGATCAACTGGCCATGTTGTCTCGTGAGTTCATTCCTCTACCCCTTTTCTCCAGATCGGGAGGCACGGCCGTTTGAAATTGCTGACTTGAGCATCGGGGTCAGGAGCTTTGGCGCGTTGCAGAATATGTTGAATTTTGCCCCCTCCAGGGGGGTTCATGGCGCCAGCAAATGGAAGATGAGCCCTCAACAGTCCAGCTCACACGTGTATTCACCAGACAATGCCAGCCATCCGTCGGGTTTGTTTGGGGGTGTTACCAGCCAAGCTCCTTTGTGGTCCCAAGGCTTGAAGGTTGTTTTGGTGACACCCTGGGATTGCACCTGAAAACAATTGCCGCATTCTGTCGGATAACCGCAGGCTATGTTGAGCATGTATTCGCAAGGTGTGGCGCGAAAGCCCAAGAGCCCGAGTCGCCTCTTGGCCATCCCTGAATTTCTCACGGTCAAAAACGAAGAAACAGGTGATTACCAGCACTGGTCGCTTACAACTAGAAGCACTTTCAAAACGGTGACACGCTGACACGGCCGACTGTTGAACCCTGACATGTTAAGAAAACACATGGATTTGAATTGGGGACTTGGACATGGTCATCATGCGAATCATATTGCACTATATATATGTGTTTATAGAGTTCATCAAATGAGTCACACATATATATATACATATATATATACATATATATATATACATATATATATATATACATATATATATATATGCTCACCCCCCCCATGATCCACATTTAGCATTGCTGCAGTGTATGGTCTCAGCTTTGGCTCCTTAATTTGAATGGCTGAAGTACTCTTAGCCCGTCTCCCAATGGAGGCTGTTAAAATAATAACAGCCATGGCAACGAGCGCCACGCCGAGCCCTATCGCTCCATCCAGATGGCCTACAAAAGTAGGTTATCTACCATGTGGCTACTTGGCCGATTTCATCGAGTCGAAAACTGCAGTTTCTTATGGGGTCCTTCTGCTGTCATTTCTGCTCTTGCCCATCTAAGGATCGGAAGTGTTCAGCTTCGAAGGCTTGCACTTCAAGATCAGCGCGAGCGAGGAGACCGTCCTCCAAGAGAATGAACTTGGCTTGATTATGAGTGAGAGGCATTTGCCATAGTTTTTTATGGGACAGTCCTTAGGACTGCTTTTACTCTCTCAGTTTTCCAAGCCGCAAGGAAAAAAGCCTGCTGACCATGTACGCCTGAGTCTGCTTGCATATCAAGCTCATTAAGTTTCCTTGTGCTATACTGCATCCATTGCAAAGCTGGGCAACTTTCTGATATTCCAACCCCATGATCCACATTTGGTATGGCTGCAGTGTGTGGTCTCAGCTCTGGCTCCTTAGTTTGACCCCGCAGTGTGTAACTAATGGCTGAAGTACTATTAGCCCAACTCCCAATGGAGGCTATTAACATACTGCTTGCATCTCAAGCTCATCAAATTTCCGTGTACTCTGCTGCAGCCATTTCAATTTGAGGTAACTTCCTGATACTCCCTTCTGCTCCAATCATGGCATCTGTGCCTCCTCATCGTGCTGAGTCGCTGGCTCGTTCCTTCGACAACGCAAACCTGGACGGCAACTGCACATTGGAGGAAGCCATCGCCCACACCGACGGCATGAAGATCCTTTACCTGGAGAAGCCAATGGTGGTGAACAAGGAGCCCGGTTCCATTAAGCTAGGCGATTTGCCAGCTAAAATGGAAATCACCGACTCCGTGAAAAAGAAGACGCAGTTCCTCGATGTCATTGCTGACCACGAAGGGCCTATTGACTTGAATGCGGTAGAGACAATGTTCCTTCAACAACGGTATGCCGACCTACCCGAGCCCGTGCGCATGAAGGGGAACTTCCAGGCCCCCTACAACATGCAGATTTTCATCATCCCCAAGGAAGGGGGCAAGAAAGACATCGTTAAGCACATCAAATTCCTAGAAGGTGCAAAGGCCTCCACAGCTCCATCATCTCTATGTGCCAGGGCGTTCCACTCGAGATCGACTTGCAGGGCAAGTACCGCGATGGTGGTCGAGGACTACAGTACATGCTCGAGGGGCTGGGCGGCTTCCAGGTCCGCTGCCAGAAGCTCGTGTCCGCCGGGGCCTCGAGCAAAATGCCCAAAGAGACGGAGGACATCCGCAAGGGCTTCGCCTATATCCGTCAGTTTGGCCCGGAAGAAAACTCCGACGGGCGATTCACGGTGTGGACGGAGGAGCAGGTCAACGATCCGAACGGCCCGCTCCACAAGTGGGACAAGGGGACCATCAAGGAGTTCCTGAGGTGCCTCGCGGACCAAGGCTCTCAAGCTAACACGATCAAGGAGTGGCCTCTCACCTTCAAGAGCATCACGCCGTGGGCTTTGAACACTATCCTTGCACCGATTCTTCCTCATGTGATCACTCCGTTATCTGGATTGGCAAGTCTCAGGTGGGTAAAAGCCCGGTGTCCTACACCCTCTCATCTGTGGTGTCCGCATATTTGTTGATTCAGGAAGAGAAGGGGGGCAGCCCTTGCTTTCAGACATGCAACCACCTCGACTACTTCCGCAAGGAGAAGGGCAGGCGGACGAAACCGAGGGTGTTTGATGATGGCAACCTCAACCTGGAGCATCCCGCAGGTGTTAAGGCAGTGACGGAGGTGGACGGCGTCGACAGGAAGACAATGGCAAGATACAACGCGTCCTCGTACGCGAAGAATCAGCTATGCCAGATTTGCAGTAATCCCTATGACAGGACTGCAGAGCCGCCGATGGACGCCAATTCGACTCAGGACACCGTGACCTTCGAGCAGTTCTACAAGATCGTGCGCCCCTCCTTCCACAGGGACTTCGATGAAGAGGACCTTGTCGGTGTCTTCAAGCGATCCACCTTCATCGTCTTCACCGATGTGGGCATGTACGTACGTGTGCCAGGCACAGACCGCAAACCCGTTCCCCGGTATGCCTGGCCAGAGCGGGATATTGGCATGATCTCTCCATCTGCCCGACCCCTTTTGGCTGCCTACAAGCGCGGTAACCTCTCTCACTTGCCGGCAGATCATGACAAAGACATGCAGTGGAGTTTGAACTTGCTGCAGGCTGCGCTGGATGGCGAGGAGGTCCGCTATTGTGCGACCACCCGTGGGAAAGAACTGTTCTCAGGAAGGGAGTACGTCATTGAAGATCGACCAACACTCGCGGGCATTGAGGGCAAGACCAAGTACTACCTGGATGCTGGCGCTGCCGTCGACGAGCCGCCCACTAAGAAGCTTCGATCTGTGAAGTCCTCTTCCAACTTGCTCAAGGAGATCAAGAACGAGAATGCGCAGGATGCCAAAGACGAGCCGAAGGACGAGGATGAGCAGAAAACAAAAGAAGAACAGAAGGAGAACGAAGATGCGCAGGATGCCAAAGACGAGCCGAAGGACGAGGATGAGCAGAAAACAAAAGAAGAAGAGAAGGATGAGGACGTGCAGGGTATCAAAGAAGAACCAGAGGAGACGCATAAGGTGCACATCAAGCAAGAGCCAGTGGATCCCTCCTACTTTTCCAAGCCATTGAACCTGCGCCCTCTGGTGATCAACCTGTCAGACACGTCTGAGGATGCAAGTGACCCAGCCTCTGCTGCACCGGCTGCAGCTGATGCGGTGGACCCTGTGGAGAAGCTTTCTGACCCTACAGCTCCTCCAGCAGCCGATGTGGTGGAAGAGACCAAGGTCCTTGTGCCTTTGCCGGCTTCTTCTCCTGATGTGGTGGACCCTATGGACGAGATTCCCGACCAGTATGACATCGAGGCATACCGAACCCTTTCCCAAGAACTCGCGGATGCCATGGACATTGACGACAACTGAGCCGCGTGTGAGCCGCACTCAGCGGATTTTGTTCTAGAAGATAGAAATATAAACCCAATAGAGACATGGAGCTTGGCTAAAAAAACTTAGGTCTCCAGTGCCATCTTGCTTGCACATGTTGCTTGGAAGCGAATCGCATTGATCGTTTACGCAGCCATCTGCTTCAATCGCCTTGATCCTTTGTAGTTGATCTTGCCCATCATGCCAAAGAAGGTCATGAAGTCCGTGAAGGCCAAGTTCCCAGATCCTAAGCGGGGGAAGTGGCGCGTGCAGCGAAGGCCTGCCTCAAAGAATCCTGCTCCGGTGCCATATGTCCGCCATGGCATGCCCACTACCAAGAACAAAGGCCACAGAGCGCGCTGGGGGCGTTCGATTTTGACTTGGGAATCTTTGACTGGACAGCGTCTCCACAAGCAGCTCCACAAGGACAAGATCCTCACAGACTGGGAAGGCAGAACTTGCCCTCGATGTGGCAACGGCGTAATGGGGCCCCTGAAGTATTACCATGACAAGAAGATTTGGGCGTACCGGTGCAAGAAGCGTGCCTGCCACAAGCAACTTCAGCCTCATGACTACCATCCCATCTTCTTCATGTCTGCTGGCAATTCTTCAACTCCACTTCAGAAGTTACCGCGGTCCTCTTCTGCGCGGTGGTGGGGGTCTGGAGCAATGCGGCGCACCTGCTCCTGGATATGGACCACAAGCCAGTGGAGCGCATCTACCACAACCTGGAGGTCGCTCGCTCGCAGTACGTCACCCAGAAGGAGAAGGACATTGTCTTCGGCGGGAAGTGGGAGGACGTGGAGGTGGACGAGGTCGACATTGGCAAGTTGACCGACGAGAGCGTGGCGGGAAACCTCAACACGAAATGGGAACAGTGGGGTGGACTCGTGGAGCGAGGAAGGCCATCCTCGCTGGTGCTCTTCAGGCTCAACCCCATCCTCACCAAAAAGAGATCTCCGGGGCCAGGTCCCATCAGGAAGAGGGACTGGCAGCCAATTGCGAAAAAGCACATCGCGGGCCGGAAAGTCATCCTCCACAGCGATGGGGCCAGAGCCTACAAGCTCAGGTTGCCGGACGTGAGGCATTGCAACGTCGTGCACAAGAAGAAGCGCATCGTCATCAACGGCAAGGCAAGTAACTCTGACCTAAACTGCTTTAACTGCCTCTTAAGGGATCTACTTGATTCTGTTATTCCTGTCTGTCAGGCCGTTTGGGTGAAGCCCCACTACACCAAGCAGTACGACGTCAAGCTGCCGGACGGGAAGAAGGTGCGTGTGAAGAGCGGCACCCAGATCATCGACCGGTTCTGGAACACCCTTCGATCTCACCTGAAACACACGAATAGAATCCCCGGCAGTCAGGTTCTCTTGCGAAAGCTGAGATCCGCACAGTTTGAATACTGGCATCGCCGCGCTAATATGTGGGAGGTGACCGGCCAGATGCTGCAGGCACTGCACAAGCAGTGATTACCGGATATGCGCTCGAAGGAAAAAGGCAAGAAAAATGCAAGCCAGCTCGTCGGAGTGACAAACATCTGCTACTGCCTTCCCACATCCACAATTTTAAAAAACAGTACAGCACTTTCTGCATGCTTAAAAGTGCTGTACTGTCCCTAAAATCCAGGCCTTGGAGGCAGAAAGTGCTGTACTGTCCCTAAAAAAACCTAAAAAACCATTCCAGAAACAGTCTTGAGCACACAAACCTCCTTCTGGCAAGGGACAGAGCATTTTTGGTTTTTTAGGGACAGTACAGCACTTTTGAGCATCAGCATGCAGAAAGTGCTGTACTGTCCCTAAAATCCAGGCTTTGGAGGCTGAAAGTGCTGTACTGTCCCTAAAAAACCTAAAAAAACATTCCAAAAACAGTCTTGGGCACACAAACCTCCTTCTGGCAAGGATTTTTTGGTTTTTTAGGGACAGTACAGCACTTTTTTGGTTTTTTAGGGACAGTACAGCACTTTTGAGCATCAGCATGCAGAAAAGTCCCTAAAATCCAGGCTTTGGAGGCTGAAAGTGCTGTACTGTCCCTAAAAAACCTAAAAAAACATTCCAAAAACAGTCTTGAGCACACAAACCTCCTTCTGGCAATGATTTTTTGGTTTTTTAGGGACAGTGCATTTTTTTGTTTTTTAGGGACAGTACAGCACTTTTTGCATGCTGATGCTCAAAAGTGCTGTACTGTCCTTAAAAAACCAAAAAAAGTGCTGTACTGTCCCTAAAAAATCAAAAAAGTCCTGCCACTGCGGCTTGTGTGCCCAAGACTGTTTTTGGAATGGTTTTTTAGGTTTTTTAGGGACAGTACAGCACTTTCAGCCTCCAAAGCCTGGATTTTAGGGACAGTACAGCACTTTCTGCATGCTGATGCTCAAAAGTGCTGTACTGCTGTACTGTCCCTAAAAAACCAAAAAAGTGCTGTACTGTCCCTAAAAAACCAAAAAAGTGCTGTACTGTCCCTAAAAAACCAAAAAAAGTGCTGTACTGTCCCTAAAAAACCAAAAAAAGTGCTGTACTGTCCCCTAAAAAACCAAAAAAGTGCTGTACTGTCCCTAAAAAACCAAAAATTCCTTGCCAGAAGGAGGTTTGTGTGCCAAGACTGTTTTTGGAATGGTTTTTTAGGTTTTTTAGGGACAGTACAGCACTTTCAGCCTCCAAAGCCTGGATTTTAGGGACAGTACAGCACTTTCTGCATGCTGCTTCCATAAGTTCCATCTGCTCCCTGCTAACTTTTTTTCCAGAAGGCTGTCCACACAAACCATCTGTAAGCATCTGCTTCAAGTTGCCTAACATCTGTCCATCAAGAATGTCGCAATCTTTGACTAATCTACTCATCAAGAATGATGCTTGTTTTTGACCCAAGTTTCCAGGATCAGAATCTGATCCTGGAACAGGTGGTCAAAAACAAGCATTTTACATGTGTTTTTCCAGTGTTTTTTGCTTGCAAGAGGCAAAATGTGGATCATGGGGGGGGGGGTGACCATATATATATGTGGTCCATTATGTATATACATCTGCATATCAATAGATACAGCAATATGTATATAGACAACACTTTGTCTTTTTATGGTGTCCCGGATCCCATTGGAACTCCCGTTGAATACAGTGATGAGGCGATGGCGTACAACCTTGCGGCTCTTGGTCAGCGCAGAAGCAGACGGCGCGGTGGCCTAGGGTTGGGGGGTCCCATGGCTCGCAGATAAGCCAAAGCGAATTGGACGTTGTTTTACATTTGCTTTGGGACGTTTGTTGATTTCTGTTTGGTTTTCGCAACACTTTCCAAGCAACCTCCTCCCAGATTGCAAGGGAAAGCCGAACGCTGAGAGCTTGTGCTAGTTTGCGCTTGGTGTTACTGGCAAAACTCAGCGGAACAGCTGGTCTCCCCGAAGACACAGGAGCGCCCAGCCAAATTTCTGTGCGGTTGTCATCAACATTGCCTGTGTTCGACACCCCAAGAATCTGGGCATCACCTTCCATGGAGATCCTGACCTTAGCATGGGTTTGGCGCTCTAAAATTTGGATAGCTGCCCTTTACCATCATCCCAAACCAGGTCCAGCTGCTTGTGTGGCAATTATTGAACATTGTTGGATCCCTTCAAAGCAACCCAATAGAATTTCTTTAAAGGGGTCCTTTTGAGCCTCCAAGCCGATCGCGGTGTGAGCCGAAGGTCTACCACTCCTTGCACGGGCCCAACGGCTCCAGCGTGGACGTGTCTCAGGCGCGACAAAAGCCCAAGGGAAGAGGTTCGCCAGCCAAAATTCCAAACCTGCAGCGATGGTGTGTGTGTGTGTGTGTGCGTGTGGCCCAAAGTCAAGTCGCAAATCGCTTGCAGTCACGGGCGTGTAACGGCCTTGCCCCTTTCAACGCGTGGCACGTTGCAGGGCGGGAGTCGGCGCGTGCGCCGCGTGAGCACCGAGGCCTGGTGGGCTTTGAACGGGCAACTGAGAGACCTGTGCTGATTTGTGGTTCATCCTTAGCCTGAAATATTTTGGAAACTAGGTGAATTTCAGAGGGTAGTTTTTGTTGCTCAGCGGGGAAGACCCGCCCAGATTAGTTGGGGGACCTTCACATTTGGACAGAAACGCGGACGGCCTCGCAATTCCCATTGGTTTTGGGTGGACTTGATTGATGCAGGTCACTCGCATGCATCCTCATGTCTAGATGGTTTAAAGGGAAACACAGGTAGACTGACTAGAAACAACAGAGGGTCTCCTTGAAAACACCGGCTGATGCTTGGGTTACCGGTTTTGGCAAAGTCTACCCCACCCCAAGAAGCCCCCTCTCTCTCTCTCTCTCTGTCGCTCTCTGTGTCTCCCTCTCTCTCCCTCTCTCTCTATCTCTCTCTGTTTGTCTCTGTTTATCTCTCTTTCTCTCTCCCTCTCTGTGGATGTGTGTGTGTGGGTGTGTATGGGTATGTGCATAACTGGGGTGTTGTTTGCATCCCTGTGCGAAGTTCCCATAGACCGCAACAACTCATCCTCAGATGAGTCCTCTTTTGCATGACCTGGTTGGGTTCTACAAGGACCGACGTTGGAGTGCGGATGAGTCTTTGCAGACTGGTTGGCTGGCTGGCTGGCTGGCTGGATGGCTGGCTGGTTGGTTGGTTGGTTGGTTGGTGGTGGGCTGGGTGGGTCGGTGGGTTAGGTTGGGTTGGTCTCGTTGGTCTCGTTGGTTTGTAGGTTTGTTTGGTTGGTGGGTTGGTTTGGTTGTGGATTGGCCTTTCCTTTCACGTTCCAAGCAAAAAGGTCAAAAAGGGTGTTGCCTATTTTGTGAGCCGCAAGCTACCGGGAAAAACCGAAGCGGGGACTGCCTTGCTCGCAGGTTGCGGAACATCTCCCGGGTGAACTGGAGGCCCAACGCCAGCGCTGGTTTTGAGAGCCAGGTGTGACACCACTTATACTCGTCCGAATCCGTTGCCGCTTGGACTGTTGAAACTCCAGGACGAGTTGGCAGAGGTTCACACAAGGTAGAATGTTTATTTCTGATGTTATTTTGCTGGTAATCCCGTGTGATCCTGCAGATTGAAGCTACAAGTTGGCGAGTTTCGAATCTGGCCAAGCCTGGAAGCGTCCCCAACAATTGTTCACTTGTGAGGAACCGGGTTTTACCGGTGGTTTTGCCGGTCACCGAGTTTACGGGGTGTTTCTTCAAACCCGTGCGCCTTCCCGCTCCGCAAAAAAGCTTGCGGCGACCCAGGGCCTCAGCTGGCCGCGGCGGCTGCAAGCGCGAGCCCCAAAACGCGAAGCGGCGAAGTGGTCGTTCGGCGCTACCAAAGTCTTAAAGTGTTCTGACAATTCTTTCTCATTCACATTGGGCAATCTGGGCAAGTTTTTATTGTAGCCGCCTCTGGCTTCACAACCACTTAGGGTTTCATCTCCAGCTCCGTAGGTTCTTCAAGTTTACATGCCTTGTGTGCGCGCCATGGCCAAAACATCTTGCTATTTCAGTCAGAATAGAAGCCATCAGATTTGCCACCATACTGGCTCCTCTGAACGGATCCCCTTGACCAGTAAGCAAAAACACAGGTCCAATTTGCTGCAATGCAATGCTTGTCCTGAGGCAACCATCTCTCAGCCGGGCCTGTTTGTGTCACCCAATCACACACAGTCCGAGTGGTCGCGGTCACACGGAACCAAGAAGAGCCAAACCTGTCCACATGGTCTTGAGAAGCACCTGTAAAAGAAGCGTTGCCTTTTGGAGGGTCCAACTCGCTTTCATACATCAACTTCCCAACCATAGCGAGCATTCCATGCTCTCGCACTCTGGCGAGGTTCCCTTTCCGATTCTTCCCCTGCACCCTGCATTGTTGTTTGCCACCTCCGTTTGTGTACGGGGATCTGGCTGCAAATGTTCCGCCAGCCAGGGTTGCAAGTACTTTACAAGTTCCGATGCATTCTGTGGGGAGGCCCACAGGCAGTTTCGGGTGCTGAGCCAGCAGCATAGTTTGGCAGCTGTGAAGTGGAGTTTGACGTTTTAGACTGCAACTCCGGCTGCCTTTGGTTGATTGAGTTGCTTTGGAATGGTTCATCCATCCTGCCCATTCTGCATTAGCCCTGGTGTTTTTGGTCTCCAGGCTCCAGGGGGCCTGGGGGGGCGTGAGCAACCACCTTCACATCTCGCAATTCCATTTGCCGCACCCGCAACCAACTCAGGCGACGCCCGCGACAATCGTCAGCGTGGTGTGGGGTCTCAAGGCACCCAAACTTGCGCTGGGATCCTATTGGTAGTTGACGAAGCGTTTCAACAATTGTAAAGTGGCCCTGGGGGGAGCGGGGAGGCAAAGTCCTGATGTGGGAAGCTTTGACTCTTGTTAACCCGCGTTGATTGGTAAACTGAGTTTGGTCCCCACGACCATGAGACAAGGATCCCTCCCGGCAATGGCCAATCGAACCAGAGTTTTCCGGAATGTCGGCCCAATCAACTTAGAATCAACACGTGAAGGGTCCTCTATAAACGGGGCTGTACCTCTCTTATTATCCAACCAGGGACGTACTCCTCAGGGATTCGCGACGCGAAGCAAGAATCGTGAGCTTGCAACGCAAAGACAGCGCTGCTTGGCAATTGCCCTGTGCGATTGGAAAGTTCAAGGAACAAGCTGCTGGTTTGAGCGGCTCAGATTAATTGCTGTTTGTCCACTTCGGGGCCAGAGGGATGCAACAAGTCGACATTTGAGGCTTTTCTACACCCGCACCCCACTCACCTCAAAAATCGCATGTGTTAAACGGGTCCGGTCCAACGGGTTGCCGTTCTTTTCTCCTCTTCAAATCGGTTGCAAACCTAGCCCATGTTTGGAGCAAAGCCAATCCTTGTTCTTTTCGGATGACAAAAGGGGCTGCCTGTGCAGATTTCCCAACCGGGGTTACAATTCGGTTCACCAACCCTCCATTTTGAGCAGCTCGGAAAAGCGCAGGTGAAGGTGCTCGGGCCCTTCGACCTCTTCGTGGAACCTGCGACGGAGCAAGCCGCACGGGCCGTTGTGGGCGAGAATTGGAATGAAATCAACCAAAGCCTCAGGGGTTGCACCCAATGGGATCATTGCAAGATTGGATATATTTGAATATTCCATGAGCGGGCAAGCAGAAAGGGAAGGAGTTGCTGACAACAGTTGTCCATGAACGCGAGACAACATGGTCCAATCACTGGAATGTGATGACCATGGACATGTTCGAACCACTTTCCGTTAACAGGAACCTTGTGGTCGAAAATGACCGCTTCCCATGTCCCGCGACGTGTTCTTGTCAGAGTGATGTCCCTATCAGCAAGCCTGGGGTGTGTCTTGAACTTCTCAATGGCCCACAGTGAAGCGGCATTTTCCCAGTTGGCCTCCCAAAGGGTCTGAAACCCACCAATCCTGTGCAGAGTAGCTTGCATTTGGAGAATCCCCCCCCTGTCAGGTTCCATGTTTCTTTCAATGTAGCTACTTCCAGCTACAATCCCACCAACAATGGAGTTGCATTCAAGCATATTCAAGCCCACTGACAGAAACTGATATTGGTTGGCTGCCAAGAAGCATGAGGCTATCTTCTCTTTCTTGACAAGTCGCTACCTAACCTTACCGCCGAAGCTGGCAGGAGTCAAGGCTGCTCTCAATTGAACAGATTAACTTACACCTCAGAACATTGACCTCTCCAACAGAATGTATGTCTCTCATGTTCCCTTGGCGTTTCTGACGTTTCGTGAGGGGTAAGCTCAGCTCTCTCTGGATTCTTCTGGATTTGTTTGTAGTCCTGAATTCTTTCGAAAGCCTTCCAGGGGCCAGACTTCCCACGTTTCTTGGGTGTGAGCCTGTCTCCGCGCAGGAGCAGCTCTGGGCTTGGGCGGGGGCCTTTCCTACTTCCATCGAGTTGGTCGCAGATTGGTTTGACTAGTGGCCCCGGCTCACTCTTCTAAGGGTATTCCAAAACCGTTAAGTGATCAGTTAGACAAGTGGATCGGAATGGAAGCTGAAGCAATGAAGCCACTTCGTTTTTTTTTTTTGTTTTTTTTTTTTAATATATTTCTTTGATTTGCTCACAAAAAGAAGCACATTGCTATGTGTCAAGAGCATATTCAGGTAAGGGTTCTGGAGGTATGGAGGTCATACGCCATGTACTTCAGGGGTGTGCACTGCCTTACAGGCTTACATTGGTGGCACATCAGCATTCATACCTCCAAAAAGCATATCTGAAAATGCCCTTGAATGTTTACTTGTGATCGAGATGTGCATGTGAAGTTGTCTGTTTGAAGCGTATTGCGCAATTTGTTGGACATGGCTTGCGCCGGAGCGGAGTGAGCTGATTGGCAATTCAAGGGACAGAAGTGGGCGAGCTTTGAGCTGGGCTCAGCAAGCCGAGCTTTCTCCTGGAGAAGCTCAGCGTTTGCACAGAGTGTTCGGATATGACCCAGGTATCTTAATCCTGACAACAGCATGTCCCAAACAGGACCCGCTATATTGCCCCTTTTGGTGATTTCAACCATTTGGCCCATTTCTGGTGGGGGAATACAGGGAACCCATGAAAACGTGTTTCCTGAGGACACAACCTTCGACCCAGCAGATCCCTGGGCGCAGCGGCCGCGCCCCCAAGGTTCGTGACAACAGTGTCGCTGCGATCTCAAAGAACATGAGAAGTGAACAAGCAATACAAGCAATACAAGCAATACGAGCAATACGAGCAATACAAGCACGAGCTTTTCTTGAGCCAGTTTTGGGGCTCGAGCCGCTGTAGATGATACGGTTCCCGCGAGTGAAGCCCGAGCCGAGCGCCCAAGGTCGATGATGCGTGTGGCCGAGAACATGCCCGAGGCGGGGGATTCCGGGTCAGTCGAGCAATGCATGGTGGATATGTGGACCGCGAAAAGAAGTAGCCTTCATGGAAATGACGAACCTTTCCTGATTCACGAGCTTGAACTTCTTTCGAGGGTGCTGTTGTACCATTGCAGCTGTTATGCCGCTTATTGAATCTGTGCAGTTGTTCATTTGGGTCAAGCGACTCAAGGTCAAGTTGTTTCAAGTGGTTTGCAGAACCTTTTTGGGCAGTGACCGACAGTTCCCCAACCATTTTGCAAAAAAACAGTTGTTCACTTTTTTCATGAGGGTTCACTTGTTTCCCGGCCCCGGCCAAGGGCATACCAAGGGCACCTCACGATAGCTGAGCCAAGAAGGCAATGTTTAAAGCCACAAAAGGCAAAAAGAGCCCTCACTCCGTCGGCAGCTCAGGACCTTCACCTGATCTCCACGAACAGCTGGCTGCAGGCAGGCCGAAAGAGTCATCTAGGTGGTTGGAAGACAGCCAAGGAGCCGGTATCATTACGGTATCATACGGTATCATCCAGTATCATCCGGTCTCCAAGTCTTCAGAGGGAGCTGAGTTGCGAGGAGTTCTGCAAGGACATGGTTGCTGAAGTTATTAAGGAGCCAAGGGGGACACATGGACAACAAAGGACTGCCATCCAACGGGACACCACTCAGTTGGAGTCACTGCGTCATGAATCCAGCACGTCATGGATTGGCAAGTGAGGGCCTCGTATCACGTGAAGGGAACGTGGCTTGGATGCCAGTGAATTCCTGTGAATCTGAGCGCTCGTAATGTCGAATGTCTTTGGGTTGAGACTGTGATCTATAGCAATTTGCCCGAGTGTTTCTTGCACAAGCCCAGCAACTCAAATTGCAACCAGGGCGAGGCAGCGCCCTTCGGGCTTGAAACAGCCGACCAGTGCCTGTTTCCATCCCTAAAAGGGTCCCCAGCGAAAAGACGTCCCCAGATCGAATGCAAAGCGCTGCATTGGCAGGGCTTCGAGTCATGGCTGGTGTCAGCAGGCCTTGAGCGCGGGCCACAGTGAGATGTGCTTTGCTCGCTTTGGATAGCGATGGGAGCCCAGGAGAGGTGAACTCCGAGTTGATTTACGAAGCCCCATGTTTGTGGGTCCTTTACTTTTGGAGGAGCGACGCACATATATGTCTGGGGCAGGTTGATTTTTGCACTCTCCAAGTCACGGCCAGTGGTTAGGGATTCCCCAGGATCTCCCGATTTATATTCTCGTTTGGGGCGCTGGGTACGCCTTGGCAAATCTCAGATTGCTGGTCTGGGTAAACGTTTGATGACCAAGCAAACAGTTAAGTCTGATGTTTTGGTTAAACATCGATCAAGGCATCCAGGATAAGACAGAAAGTTAATTGAATGGAGTATTATTGATAGAGTTACGCGATTCAATAGCTTGGCATGAATCAGAACATGTCAAAGCAAAACCAGAATCAGGAATATCATCCTGCAAGATCAATTCGGCTCAATAGTCTTACATGTTTTGGGAGACTTCTTCGGTGCCGGGATTTGATTGTAACTCGAGCCGCGTCCGAGGGATTTCAAGTAGGATGCCCGCATTCCAGCTTACTGTTGGGAGTTGTCCGCCCGCTCAGATTCACCTTCGCGCTCCAGTATCCATTCATTCCGATCCGCTCTCTCCACTGCCCCCACGTCCTTCTGTGCATCTGTGCATCCAGCCAGCCCAGCCATGACGTAGCATCCATTCCCATTCCATCCATTCATCCGTGCATCCGACTCCATCCCTCCCTTCATCCCTTTGTCCGTCATGTCTCATGGTTGATTTGTACCACAGCTGCCCACGCAGCACTGATCACTGACCATCAAAGATAGCCAGTGTCAGCCATGAGCTGCTTCGCTCCGCAAACTTTTACATACTCGTGCAGATTAACTTTGAAGAATACATCCAGCTACGATGAACGAGATTGTCACTTTGCTTGTTGCCAAACAGATCATGTTGTGGTGTACACTCAAGTTTTCTAGCTATGGGCGCTCAACGGCTTTTGCGCGAAAGAGTGCCAGTGCAGCTGGCCGTTCACGCTGGGGGGGGAAGTTTGACCAGGGGACCACCTATTTGATTAGGTTAAAATGAAATCAAAGAAAGCTAACAAGTTTGGGGGGTCTCGCCAACTTCGCCTGCGTAATCTCTGCATGTTTTGAGCAGAGATCCTGAACAGTTCAAGCAGGCTGCCTAGCCTACGTATGCTTATGTTAAACTCGTCACGACGAATCCTTGCATGGGGATTCAATTCACGTTTGACCTCTCCACAGACATTGAACCTGACAGGAGGTTCCTGGAAGACGATTTTCCTTAAAAGGGGCCTTTCGATGGTATCAAGTGCCGCAGTCCTGCCAAGGTTTCCGGCCCGGGACTTTCACGGGGCCATGGAGACATACTTGAACGGCCTCGGCGGCGGCTATCGGAAGAACATCCTCAGGCACCGTGATTCGGCTGGGGGGGGGGGAGTTGGGTACAACTATGAGATATGATACAAGGAGCCAGCTTGAGGCTTTGGTGTAACGGCTTGTTTGATATAGGCCATGGAAGCTGACAGGAAGGTCTGGGAAGACTACTTCCATCCCTAAAGGCCTGCTGTCCGCTTCCATGGTTATTTTAAATGTTTGAAAGAGGGTAATGGGGAACATGATTGAACCCCCCCCCTCAAGGTTTCGAAAAGCCGGATTTTGAATGTCTGGACCTGGCCAGTCCTTTCCGTTCCTTTCCCGTGTGGACACCTGGGGAAATAGCATTTGTTATTTGAGAGTCGTCCGAAAGGTCCTTGTATTGAGATTTGAAGGGGAAGACCTTTTAGGCTTAGCGTTGACCTCCGCGAAAGTTCCGCGAAGGGGGTCGCGAAAGTTTTTTTTTTTTTTTTTTTTTTTTTTTTTCGCGAAAGTCTTGTGTAATGGTAGTTTGGCAAAGGAAGATGAGTTGATTCTTTATGTGGACTTGCTGCCAGCTCACTTTAGCCAGTGGCGCAGCATTTGGCTCGCGTCATGAAGGCGATGAAGGCTTCCCAGATCGCAAGGCTGTCGCAGCTGCAATTGGCAGAAATTGCCGCAGAGCATGGCTTGGTGATCGACCGCAACGCGCTGGACCTTGAGATCCGGGCCATGGTGGCACGCCTTCTAAGCGGAGGTGACCAGGCTGGTTCCGGAGCGCCATCAGCCATGGAATCATTTCAAAAGGATTGTAGACAGATTTGATTTCATTCCGATGCCACGCAAGTAAGGGGTGCGCACCAGAGCTCCAACTCTCCCTCAGGTTTGCTTGTGCCGGTGCCGGCCGTCCAGTCGTGGCAACGACAAGGACGCGTCGGCGACTGCATTTTGTGGCTGGGTAAGGTCTGTGGCAGCTGCGTGCTGTTCAGCCTGTCAAGTGCTCAAAACATTTGAGGAATCCCCAAAATACTCTGCCTCCATAATATGTGTTCGGGGGGAATTCGTTTCCGACCCTGTAAAGCGAAGGTGACCCTTCTGCAAAGCCTGCAAGGTGAAAACCCCCAACCCTTCAAAAACAAATCTAGAGACATCCCATGTTTGTGGCACGATTGCGGAGGCCACTTCCGATCCTACGAGCAGGGAGTTCTTCCAAGAGTTTCGGTGTCCCACAAGGATCAACTACTCTGGCGAGAAGCATGGCAAAGGCTTGATCGACACAATTTTTGCACATGTGCAGGGGTGGATCGATCAGTTCTTGAACCAGGGCGAGAAGCTCATCAGCTCTTTGGATGAGCTGTTGGCTGTCTGTGCCAGCGGTGCTGCTCGTGACAACGCGCGAGACCCTGCCGGTGTGGAATGGACTGCGCGGTGGTTTGACAAAGCGCTCAAGCCGGAGTTCCACTACACTTTGGCCAGCCCAGGGTTCAAAATCCAGCGGACGTACTCCTTGCTGCTGCGACCCTACGCAGGGCGGAACTACAACCGGCCAGAGATTGTGGACACTGTCTTTGCCGACGTGGAGCCGTCAAGAACGTGCAGCGCTACCATCGCTTCCCTTGAGCGTTTGCAGGTTGCAGAGAGGGAATGGCGGCGTGGATATTTTGGAAACAAGAACTGGTCACAGCCTCCGCCAGAACGAGGGGAAACAAACTCAGTGATGTCGAGGCGAGCGGACCATTTGACACGCAGCATCCCTGAGGCCAGTTTGTCGCTTGACTGGCAAAACCAAGCTGCTCGTTTGGCCCGAGCATTGGAGAGACGCCGTGCTCGTTGGAAGCGGCACCTGGACAACGCTGCTGGGTCGTCCTCTAGCTCCAGCTCCAGCTCTTCGTCTTCAAGCGCTAGTGTGGATGGTGATTCCGACTGATGCCAGAAACGCACACCGAAAAAATGTAGCAGAGTGCGCTGCATGCCCGTCTAACATACCACTACAATACACAATACAAAACCTCACCAGTGCCCCTTGTCCGGCGCCCCTTCGCGTCACAGCAAAAGCAAGCTCTTAAGGGCAACAGCTTGCAAAGGAGAGACTCAGCTTACTTGTTTACTTAGGGGATGCTGCAGAAATAGGCCCGCGAAAGTTCCGCGATGGGTCTCGCGAAAGTTAATTTTTTTTCGCGAAGATGGCGGTTTCCGGAACAAGGAATTTCAGACAACAGTCAGGGCTGGACTGGTGCTATTCGGGGGCCAGCCTTGAGGGGGTTCCCTTTGCGAGCTTGTCAATCCTCGTTTTTTGAAACAACGAATAGGAAGAGTTTGCTCTTTCCGGCTAGCCGGTTTTTGAATCTCTGGAATGGCACAATTCTTCACCATGAAAGGAGTTAGCATTGGCAAATGTATTGGTAGTAACTTTGGTAAGATTAGTATTGTTGAAGTTTGGGCCGGAAAAGGGACGTCTTTAGTCAGAGGGGGTTTTGGGAGGTGCCCCAAAAAATTGAAGGAGAGGGAACCCAAAAACAAAGCAATTGAACATCACAAGCTAGGCACACGCACAGAGGCTGGAGACACTGCTTGCGTCAGGGCTCGCAAGGAGTGCTTTTCCCCTCCCAAACTCTCGGACCGACACGGACCAATTCCCGGCGCAAACGACGCCGGGAGTATCGCTTGCAGGGCAAAAGGTCCCCACCCTCCGTCACCTCGGCGCCATCGGCCACATTCTTGCCGTGCAAAGCCTGCGCGCAACTATCCGAAGTCATCCTTGCGGAGGTCTGGCAGAGGTCTCGTGTCTCGCAGAGGGCTCGCGGAGGTCTCACAGATGTCGGTTTGTCTCCCCACAGGTGTGAGAAACGGTTTGCACAAAGCGTTCGCGCAGCGCATTTCCTAGATTTCGGGCAGATCTTCTTGCTTCTCAGTCTATCGGTCTGACACTGGCGGCGCTCCGACACGTGGGATGCTGAAAGCAAACACCAACAGAGGTTTCACAAAGCTTTCTCGCGGCGTATTTGCAGATGTTTCTTGCTTCTTTCGGCCGAAGCATCCTAAACTAGCATGGCTTCTGAGCGTCAGACCGACAGGGCATGCTCGAATAACAGGAAATGCGCTGCGCGAAAGCTTTTTCACGACTCTCTCCCACATTGGTGGGAGGACAGAGAGACGTTGTGAGACCTCTGCGCAAGACCTTTGCGAGACCGCTCCGACACGTTGGGTGCCTAAAGCAAACACTCGAAAGAGGTTTTGCAAATCAAACCCTTAACGGCCTCCGCCAAGGCAAGTCCCACCGGCACACGGATAGCCCGACCTCATTCTCGGCACTTGTCTCCGCGCCAAATCCCACCGGCGCGCGATCGATGTGGCCTTGTTATCGCTCTGACAAGGTGGGAGACCAAATCCACCAAATCCCGCCGCGCGCCCCTGGCCAGCTCCAGTTATGCATGTTCCTGCCGGACCAATCCCACCGGCGCTCTGCGCCTTTGCGCAGACCACCAGCGCACGAACGCGCGCCTCAGAAAGCCCGGCACGCGGTTTTCGGAGCCCTTCAGCACCAGTCACGTTCTTGCCAGCCCACCGGCACACCGCCGCCGGCGCTCTCCGACGGACGCGCCTTTGCAGCCTGGGCCAAGGCAATTCCCACCGACGCACAGTCCACCTCATTCTCGGCGCACGAACGATATGACCATATTATCGCTCCGCCTCGGTGGGCCAAATCCCACCGGCGTACGGCCCCCTGCACCTCCCAAGCGGCCCTTTTCCCAAACAGCGGCTTACTGCACTCCCGGAGCGCTTCCAGCCGGCATGCTTCAGATCCTCGCTCCCTCGCGAAAAGGCAACAAAACGAGAACCCAATTGCGGGGGGGGGGGGTTGAGACTAAGATGCGTCTTTTGCTCAAACCTTGTGGGTGTTTTGACAGTCGAATTGGCTAGCCGGTTGGGAAACCGGGCGTGTTTAATCAGAGGGATTTATTAATCATGCGCCGACAGTAAGCAATGTGTTTTGCTTGTTCGAAGCTGCAGCCAGTTCCAAGCTCAACAAGGATGAGTGTTGGACGGTACCCTGGTCCCAGCTCAGCTTGGCAGGGACGAGAGCAAGCGGGTGGTGGCGCTGACGCTGGAGTTTAGCATTGCCCGAGCCTCACGAAGAATCTAACTATGGGTTGTGCCCTGCGAAACAATTTCCTTACCGTACAGTTCTCACAATAGATATGTTTGAGTGTACCATGTGTGTTTCTCAGATGGATAGTTGGGAGGCATTGATGGCTCAGAATCTGCGTTCATGCTGTGGTGAATCCAGAGTTGGAATGTTGTGGGCGTTCCAAGGAGGAGAGAAACCCCATGTCCAGTTGCTGAATGCTTGTGATGCCATTGGCCACACACGCTCTATCTGATGAAGCCAGGACACACGGTATGCATGTGTTGACTCAGATCCTGGATGTATGTTGTCGTGACGGGCATACTTCAGCCAAGCGTACGTGAATGCTCGGTTTGGCTCTTGGCCAACAGCGTTGCTGCTGTTTATGTCGCACTCATTTGTTGTGAGTCCAAAGTTGGAAGCTTGCGGGCGTTCCAAGGAGGAGAAACACAACATATCCAATTGCTGAATGCTTGTGATGCCATTGGCCCCACACGCATTTGATGAAGCCTGAACATACAGTATGCATGTGTTGACTCAGATCCTGGATGTATGTTGTCGTGACGGGCATACTTCAGCCAAGCGTACGTGAATGCTCGGTTTGGCTCTCGGCCAACAGCGTTGCTGCTGTTTATGTCGCGCTCATTTGTTGTGAATCCAAAGTTGGAAGCTTGCGGGCGTTCAAAGGAGGTGAATCACACCATGTCCAATTGCTGAATGCTTGTGATGCCATTGGCCCCACACGCTCTATCTGATGAAGCCTGAACATACAGTATGCATGTGTTGACTCAGATCCTGGATGTATGTTGTCGTGAAGAGCGTGAATGCTCGATTTGGCTCTTGACCAACAGCGTTGCTGCTGTTTATGTCGCGCTCATCTGTTGTGAGTCCAAAGTTGGAAGTTTGTGGGCGTTCCAAGGAGGAGAGAAACCCCATGTCCAATTGCTGAATGCTTGTGATGCGATTGGCAACACACGCTCTATCTGAGGATGAAGCCTGAGTGCGTGACCTTGACGTGAGCCCTGCATATGGGCAAATGAGTGGGCTATTGGCGCATGCGGTATTCATGTGTTGACGCAGATCCTGGATGTATGTTGTCGTGAAGCGCATACTTGCAGACAAGCGTACGTGAATGTTCGGTTTGGCTATTGGCCAACAGCGTTGCTGCTGTGTATGTCGCGCTCATTTGTTGTGAGTCCAAAGTTGGAAGCTTGCGGGCGTTCCAAGGAGGAGAGAAACCCCATGTCCAAATGCTGTTGACTCAGATCCTGGATGTATGTTGTCGTGAAGTTCATACTTGCAAACAAGCGTACGTGAATGCTCGGTTTGGCTCTTGACCAACAGCGTTGCTGCTGTGTTCATGTCGCGCTCATTTGTTGTGAATCCAAAGTTGGAAGCTTGCGGGCGTTCCAAGGAGGAGAGAAACCGCATGTCCAATTGCTGAATGCTTGTGATGCGTTTGGCAGCACACGCTCTATCTGAGGATGAAGCCTGAGTGCGTGACCTTGACGTGAGCCCTGCATATGGGCAGATGAGTGGGCTATTGGCGCATGCCGTATTCATGTGTTGACTCAGATCCTGGATGTATGTTGTCGTGAAGTGCATACTTCAGACAAGCGTACGTGAATGCTCGGTTTGGCTCTTGGCCAACAGCGTTGCTGCTGTTTATGTCGTGCTCATTTGTTGTGAGTCCAAAGTTGGAAGTTTGCGGGCGTTCCAAGGAGGAGAGAAACCCCATGTCCAATTGCTGAATGCTTGTGATGCGATTGGCAACACACGCTCTATCTGAGGATGAAGCCTGAGTGCGTGACCTTGACGTGAGCCCTGCATATGGGCAGATGAGTGGGCTATTGGCGCATGCGGTATTCATGTGTTGACTCAGATCCTGAATGTATGTTGTCGTGAAGCGCATACTGCAGACAAGCACACGTGAATGCTCGGTTTTGCTCTTGGCCAACAGCGTTGCTGCTGTTTATGTCGCGCTCATTTGTTGTGAGTCCAAAGTTGGAAGTTTGCGGGCGTTCCAAGGAGGAGAGAACCCCCATGTCCAATTGCTGAATGCTTGTGATGCGATTGGCAACACACGCTCTATCTGATGAAGCCTGAACATACAGTATGCATGTGTTGACTCAGATCCTGGATGTATGTTGTCTTGAAGTTCATACTTGCAAACAAGCGTACGTGAATGCTCTATTTGGCTCTTGACCAACAGCGTTGCTGCTGAGTTCATGGCGCGGTCATTTGTTGTGAATCCAAAGTTGGAAGCTTGCGGGCGTTCCAAGGAGGAGAGAAACCCCATGTCCAATTGCTGAATGCTTGTGATGCGATTGGCAACACACGCTCTATCTGAGGATGAAGCCTGAGTGCGCGACCTTGACGTGAGCCCTGCATATGGGCAGATGAGTGGGCTATTGGCGCATGCGGTATTCATGTGTTGACTCAGATCCTGGATGTATGTTTTCGTGAAGTGCATACTTGCAGACAAGCGTACGTGAATGTTCGGTTTGGCTTATTGGCCAACAGCGTTGCTGCTGTTTATGTCGCACTCATTTGTTGTAAGTCCAAAGTTGGAAGCTTGCGGGCGTTCCAAGGAGGAAAGAACCCCCATGTCCAATTGCTGAATGCTTGTAATGCGATTGGCAACGCACGCTCTATCTGATGAAGCCTGAACATACAGTATGCATGTGTTGACTCAGATCCTGGATGTATGTTGTCGTGAAGTTCATACTTGCAAACAAGCGTACGTGAATGCTCGGTTTGGCTCTTCACCAACAGCGTTGCTGCTGTTTATGTCGCGCTCATTTGTTGTGAGTCCAAAGTTGGAAGCTCGCGGGCGTTCCAAGGAGGAGAGAAACCCCATGTCCAATTGCTGAATGCTGGTGATGCGATAGGCAACACACGCTCTATCTGAGGATGAAGCCTGAGTGCGTGACCTTGACGTGAGCCCTGCATATGGGCAGATGAGTGGGCTATTGGCGCATGCGGTATTCATGTGTTGACTCAGATCCTGGATGTTTGTTTTCGTGAAGCACATACTTGCAGACAAGCGTACGTGAATGTTCGGTTTGGCTCTTGGCCAACAGCGTTGCTGCTGTTTATGTCGCACTCATTTGTTGTGAGTCCAAAGTTGGAAGCTTGCGGGCGTTCCAAGGAGGAGAGAACCCCCATGTCCAGTTGCTGAATGCTTGTGATGCGATTGGCAACACACGCTCTATCTGATGAAGCCTGAACATACAGTATGCATGTGTTGACTCAGATCCTGGATGTATGTTGTCGTGAAGTTCATACTTGCAAACAAGCGTACGTGAATGCTCTATTTGGCTCTTGGCCAACAGCGTTGCTGCTGTTTATGTCGCACTCATTTGTTGTGAGTCCAAAGTTGGAAGCTTGCGGGCGTTCCAAGGAGGAGAGAACCCCCATGTCCAATTGCTGAATGCTTGTGATGCGTTTGGCAACACACGCTCTATCTGAGGAAGAAGCCTGAGTGCGTGACCTTGACGTGAGCCCTGCATATGGGCAGATGAGTGGGCTATTGGCGCAAGCCGTATTCATGTGTTGACTCAGATCCTGAATGTATGTTGTCGTGAAGTGCAAACTTCAGACAAGCGTACGTGAATGCTCGGTTTGGCTCTTGGCCAACAGCGTTGCTGCTGTTTATGTCGCGCTCATTTGTTGTGAGTCCAAAGTCGGGACTTTGCGGGCGTGGCGTTCCAAGGAGGAGAGAAACCCCATGTCCAATTGCTGAATGCTTGTGATGCGATTGGCAACACACGCTCTGTCTGAGGATGAATCCTGGATTTATGTTGTCGCGAAGCGCATACTGCAGACATTTGCAGACAAGCGTCCGTGAATGCTCGGTTTGGCTCTTGGCCAACAGCGTTGCTGCTGTTTATGTCGCGCTCATTTGTTGTGAATCCAAAAATGGAAGCTTGCGGGCGTTCCAAGGAGGAGAGAACCCCCATGTCCAATTGCTGAATGCTTGTGATGCGATTGGCAGCACACGCTCTATCTGAGGATGAAGCCTGAGTGCGTGACCTTGACGTGAGCCCTGCATATGGGCAGATGAGTGGGCTTTTGGCGCATGCGGTATTCATGTGTTGACTTAGATCCTGGATGTATGTTTTCGTGAAGTGCATACTTCAGACAAGCGTCCGTGAATGCTCGGTTTGGCTCTTGGCCAACAGCGTTGCTGCTGTTTTGTCGCGCTCATTTGTTGTGAGTCCAAAGTTGGAACTTTGCGGGCGTTCCAAGGAGGAGAGAAACCCCATGTCCAATTGCTGAATGCTTGTGATGCGATAGGCAACACACGCTCTATCTGAGGATGAAGCCTGAGTGCGTGACCTTGACGTGAGCCCTGCATATGGGCAGATGAGTGGGCTATTGGCGCATGCGGTATCCATGTGTTGACTCAGATCCTGAATGTATGTTGTCGTGAAGCGCATACTGCAGACATTTGCAAACAAGCGTCCGTGAATGCCCGGTTTGGCTCTTGACCAACAGCGTTGCTGCTGTTTATGTCGCGCTCATTTGTTGCGAGTCCAAAGTTGGAAGTCTGCGGGCGTTCCAAGGAGGAGAGAACCCCCATGTCCAATTGCTGAATGCTTGTGATGCGTTTGGCAACACACGCTCTATCTGAGGAAGAAGCCTGAGTGAGTGACCTTGACGTGAGCCCTGCAGATGGGCAGACGTGTGGGAAAGTTCTTACACGGGCTGCCTTCTTTGACAGAGACCTTGGATTCTTGTTCTTTCTTGCAGAAAAGCTGCCGCTGTGCTCAGGACGCCTCGCTAGGCGATGGTCTGGAGTGGACTACTGCAGGGGGCCCAGTCCATGCTGCATCCGGGAGGTCCAAACGTCTTTGAAGCCTCAAGTGTTCCATTTTCCACCGTCACATGTTACAGGGTTGTTCAAAGGAAGTGTTGGCCAGATAGAACCGTATACCCGCTGAGTTTGAAAATTTTGAAGCAGGTGGTTTCGGATGCATCCCTTAAAGGAATTCCGTCCTGTTGCTCCATTCCCTTGATTCCTTCATTTGCCCCTTGGGCCGTGCAATTCGCCGCGCGCTTCGAAGTTAGAAAATTGAGGCTACGAGAAGCGCTTGGGAGCGGTACATCCGAAACTGCAACGCCGTGGCCTCCCTGCGCGCCAACAAGGCAAGACGAGTCTCAACTTGTTCAGGTACCTTTCGTCATTCGGTTGGATGGATTTGAGTTGGTTCTTGTAGAGAATGCGAAACTACCGGAACACCTACCCAATCGTAATTGCCAATTGGAGGGGATCTGATGTTTGGTGCATTTAAAGGACAACAAAGGAGAACCTATGATTTTTGGGGTCCAATGCATATGAGGGGCCCAGGCCCAGTGAGAGAGTCCTATTCACATGGTCATGGCCAGAATCAAGGGCACATATGCCAGACAAGCAGCTCTCACAAGAAGTGGCTCATCGTGCAACAATCTTCATAGAGCCCACTGTGCCCGCCGCCTGCTATGGACAAGGTGTCTTCGTAGCTACAAGGTTTCTCTAGGGGCCCACTGTGTTTGCCTTTTCGAGTGGTTTGACCTCACCTTTCGGGTGCCAACTTGATTTGGGCTCTGTGAAGAACATGCCATGTCCTTGAATCTTGATGCTCACACGAAGGGTGGGCTCGAGCTAAAGCAAATAGGCTACGCCTCACGGATGGATTGAGGAGAAAAGTGGCTGACGACTTCGTGCGCGGCGGCCTGGAGAAGTGAAGGACTTCTTGTTGTTGGTAGCGGAGCTCTACGACCAGATCTGCTCCGTGGACGCTACCTACTCCAAGGATGGCAACCACAGATGGTGATGGCGGAGGAAAAGGAACTGGAAAGGGAGACAACAACAGCCGTGCTGACAGCTATGTCCCCACCTTCACTGGCAAACAGCAGGACTACCGCGAGTACCGGAAGAGGTGCACAATCTATCGCAAGAAGATGGAACTCGCAGGACGAAGCAAGGAGACTGCCTTCAACATCATCACGATGCTGACGGGCAAGGCTTGGGACTTGGTGGAGGATCTGGACATGGAGCGCCTGGCGGAGGATGGTGGCTACGACATGATCTTTGAGAGGTTGGACAGAGGTTTCAAGCACGAGCCACTGACAGAGCTGCCGGACGACTTTGAGAATTTCTTCGTGAAGCTGCAGCGGCGACCTGGTGAGACCATGCAGGAGTATGCGGCGGAGTTTGCGCGGTCGCAGAGGAGACTGCAGAACACTCATCGGGTGGAACTCCCCGAGAAGGTGTTGTCATGGATGTTTATCCGGAGAGCTGGAGTGACCAAGGAGCAACGCCAGATGGTCCTCACGATGATGGGTGCGGACAACATGACGTTGGGAAGAGCTCAAGAGGCGATGTTCTTTATCATCGGCCAGGACAGCAAGGCGGCGCCCACCTACATGGGCGGCAAGAAGAGGCGCATGTTGATGTATGTCATCTCCGGGACTGTGCCGATCCTCATTGGCCGACCGGTCCTGGAGAGGATGCAGGTGTCCATCGACTACGGCAACAAGCGGATGAAATGGCCTCATGGACAGTGGATCGACATCCCAGTTGGACCACGTGGAGAACACCAGCTACATCTTGCCGAGGACGTGGACGAGCTGAAGGATGCCGAAGATGAGGAGATTCTGATCCCGGAGAACGCCATCAACCACGTTGACTTTCAGAAGGACCTGGGCATAGAGGCCCTGAATGAGGACGATGCCATCAATGCTGTGGAGGAGGATAGCGGACATGGTGCTGGGGCAGACGACCAGCAGGCGGTGGAAACTACATCAAGGGCACTGGAGGGAGCCCAATGCAATGGAATGGTGATTTCTTCCCTGATGCCGGATCTTGATCCGATGCTAGGCCTGGAGGGCCCAGAAAGCCTTGGAGGCGCGGTTCGCTGGAGTATGCATGGAGAATTCGGAAAAGACGAGCCGCCTCACTCAGAAGAAGCTGAGGACCATGATCACTGAGGCGGAGAAGGAGATCGCGACCCAGAACAGGATGTTGAGAAAGGCCAAGGACTGCGAGAAAGGAGCCCAGAAGCGAAAGATCTGGGAAGTGTTTGTTGAGGCAGGCCGGACAAGCAAGGTGCTTGCGAAGATGAAGAATGTCGAAGCGGAGGTATTCTCCCTACACACTGGCTGGGACCTGACGGACAGGAAGGTGCAGGCGAAGTTCCTGGATCGCGTGCGAGAAGAGGAGCCCGATGAAATCCTGATGGCACCGATGTGCAGACTGTGGTTGCAGATGCAAGAGTTGAGCGCGAGCAGATCGCCCGAGGCAAGGCAGAAGCTGGTGGAACTTCGACGGCAAGATCATAACAACGTGCTGCAGTTTGTGAAAAGGGTGTACATGGAGCAGTACAACAACAGCAGAGAGGTGACGCTGGAGCATCCCTGGACCAGCAGAGCGTGGATGACAAAAGCATGGCATCAGCTGCCGGGTTATGAGACCTACGTGGACCAATGCGCTTATGGACTCAAGGTACCCGATGATGAAGGAGTTGTGCGACCATCAAAGAAGCCGACCAAGTTCCTCACCACGAAGAAGCATCTCTACCACAAGGTTGGCAGGACCTGCCAATGCGGTGAGCCACATCAAGCACTGGAAGGCAATGCACCTGGAGCAGGCCCAAGGACCAAGTTGGCGGAGAGCTACCCGATTGCGTTAGCCAGGAAGTTGGCTGAGGCAATGGCGGCGCAGGATATCGACAAGATCCATGCTGCCGATGAGGACGTGGTGATGGAGCCGGTGAGTCAGGCCGCGGTACCAGCAGAACCTGCAGGTGATGGACAGCGAGATAAACAAGCTCAAACTGAAGAACGAGACCAAGAGGTCATTGAGAAGAACAAGGTTCTCAAGGCCAAAGTGGGGAACCAGGTCTTCGGCTACGTCAAGAGATTGCGCAAGAACCTGGGACATCCATCTGCCCCGGTGCTCAAGCAGATGTTGATGGAAGTGCAGGCGACTGAGAATGTGCTGAAGGCGGCCGAGGAGTATCTGTGCCCACATTGTGTTGCTCGCCAACGACCAGGAGGTGTCCCACCTGCTGCTGCATTGACCAGCAAAGAGTTCAACGACCGCATCGTTGTGGACTCGGCCTGGATTGCAGTGGAAGGAGGACGACGCTGCGTGCTCACAATCCAAGATCAAGCAACGCGGTACATTGCGGTCCGGATTCTCAAGAACGAGAAGGCGGAGGACCTGATCAAGGGTGTCGATCGGGCATGGATCAAGCAGTTTGGCATCCCGAAGTACCTGCGCACAGACGAAGCAAAGGGCTGGGCGAGCAAGGCTTTGCGAGAATGGACGGCAGAGCGGAATATTGCCCTGGAGATCGCACCCGCGGAGAGCCACAACTGGTTGGGCGCTGTTGAGAGAAAGCACCAAGTGGTGAGACGAGCACTGGAGCTGCACATGGAGGATTCCGGCAAGAAGAATGATAGCGGACTCCTGCAGGCTTGTGTATATGTCCCCTCGCAGATCAACTCGATGAGCATGGTGCGAGGATTCACGCCACAGCAATGGGTGATGGGTAAGAACCCCAACCAGGTGCAGTCCCTCACGGGAGAGATCTTCAGCCCGACGGTCAGTGCCATTGACGAGGCCGGTGAGTTTGCGGCTGTGCAGCAGAAGCGGCTTGCAGCGCAGATGGCATTCCTGAAAGCAGACAGTGATGCAAGACTGAGGAGAGCTATGAATCAGAACTACCGTCAGATCAAGGATGACGTGGCCATCGGACAGGTGGTGTACTACTGGCGAGAGAAGGGCGCGGGCATCTTGCAAAAGCAGAAATGGCGAGGACCTGCGCGAGTGGTGGCTACCGAGAAGGACAGCGACTACAAGGACCTTGTGATCTGGCTGGCGCATGGAACATCACTGTTGAGGTGTTCGCCCCATCAAGTACGTCCTCGAGTGGAGGAGACGGGCATCCCGCTGGTGGCTGATCCCAACGCTGCACTACGAGATCTACAAGCACTCCGAGCACGATCTACCACGCAGTACAAGGATGTCTTTGCCCCAACGATTCGCGAGGATGCGAGGATCAGGACGAAGATGAGCTGGACGCCATGTATGAGCCGGAGGCGCTGGACTTTGATGAGGAAGCCTCGCCAACATCACCGGCGGGGTCAGCTGAGGTCATCTCGGTTCCTGGAGTTGTGGTGCCATTCCTGCAGGCGCATGCGAGAAATGTGGAGCAGGAAAATGACGCCAGTGAGCCAAGATCCCGAAGGGCGTCTACAGTTGAACCAGAACCACTGCCGCCAGCTGAGGCTGGAGGACGTGACCCAGCATTTTCAGATGGGCGACAGTCATCGCAGCCAGCACAACCAGCCGAACCACGAGCGCCTGATGGACGGGATGAACAGCAGGACCTGCGAAGCAAGTGGCAGAAGACTGCACAGGCATCGGATGCTCCTGTTGATGTCCCAGTGCCCACGCAGGATGACGATGATCTCATGGTGGAGGATGTGACGTTTGTGGATGGAGCTGAACCAGATCTACCTGCCGGTTGGGTACTCGTGGACGGTGAGTTTGAGCTGGACGAGGCATGGCTGGTGAAGAGGCGTCCGAGAAGAACATGACGGCTGACCAGCGAGCCCAGATGATGGAGGCAAACAAGGCAGAGCTGGAGAACTATTTTCGGAACCAGGTGTGGAACTTTGCGGAGGTGAACCCCGGAGATGAGTCGCGGATTGTCTCTGCGCGATGGGTGCTGACCTGGAAGGAAACTGAAGGAGGTGGACCCCGAGCCAAAGCACGTCTGGTGCTGCGTGGCTTTGAGGATCCAGACCTGCTCTACCTTGATAAGGCATCACCAACAGCCGGAAGGCTGGGCAAGAACTTCCTCCTCCTGATTGTCCAGAACAACCACTGGAATCTATACGTTGGTGACGTACGAGCAGCTTTCTTGTCTGGATCGCAGTTCGACCGGAAGATCATTGTCAAGCTGCCGAGTGATTGCGGACCACTACTTGGAGTGGTTGGCCCGGCATACATGAGACTGCTGAAGAGCGCGTACGGCCTGGCAGATGCACCACTGTTGTGGTACAAGGAGGCAACGTCGAGACTGCAGTCGATGAGTTTCATCCAGCACAGGATCGACAAGTGTCTCTTCATCTACTACAAGCAGACGACTGGCGAGATGAAGGCGATTCCGATTGTCCATGCCAAGCGTGTTCGACAGCCTTGGACGAGCTCACGCTGACTAAGCTTTTCTACTCCCTCATGCTGAACCCGGACCAGGACTTGCGAAAGAGTGAGACGGTGCAAGCTGGCGAAAGTGCAATGGTGGTGGACGCTCGAGCTCTGTATGATGCGACGCAGCGGGAGACCATCCAGAACGCCGGCGACAAGAGGGCGGCGATCGAGATCCTCTGCATCAAGGACGCGTTGACCTGGACCGGAAGCAGACTGAGGTGGGTCAGTTCCAAGAGGCAGTTGGCTGACGGAATGACGAAGCTGGCGGCGCGGCGTCATTGGCTGACGATCTACGTGGAGGCTACATGCAGTTGATCAACGACGGCAACTTCACGGCAGCGAAGAAGAAGACTAATCAGGAGCGGAAGGCGCAAAGGACAGTCACGAGTGGTGGCAGCGCGGTGGCAAGTTCGTTGGTGGCCATGGTGGCGAATGACTACATCCGGAAGGTCGAGGGTTACAAGAACAGCGGCGACGAGGTGATCGACGTGATCTTTGTTGTCGGAGTCTTCATCGTCATCCTGGCGGTGATCTACGGCGTTGTGAAAGTGACGGAGGTGTGGATCATTGGGAAGCAGGAGAAGGTGAAGAACACGCGGAAGCTGGAGGTGGCAACGCGAACCGAGATTGACAAGCGGCCGGAGTATTCGGCCCTGTGGCAGAAGCACCAGGAGCAATCGTTTGAGCTCCAGTACTGGAAGAACGCGGTGCCCTCTTCCGTGGTCGTGACCCACTACGGCAAGTGCTACCATCGACGCGGTTGTCATCACGTCAGTGAGAGGCAAGTGCAAGAAAAGACCCGATGCAGAGACTGCATCGGGTGAAGACCATGGGAAATTCTTTTCCCCCTTTTTGGGCATGTGAAGAACATGCCATGTCCTTGAATCTTGATGCTCACACGAAGGGTGGGCTCGAGCTAAAGCAAATAGGCTACGCCTCACGGATGGATTGAGGAGAAACGTGGCTGACGACTTCGTGCGCGGCGGCCTGGAGAAGTGAAGGACTTCTTGTTGGGCTCCCTTTGGCTACTGGAACCTTGGGTGGAGATGGGCAACCCCACCCCTCTCAGCACCCCCTAAAACCGCGACTGCCCGGATTCATCCGAAGCTGAAGTCCGTGAAAGGGGGTTCAGCCCCATCCAAACGATGCTTAGGCAAAACATTTGATGGATATTTGATGGATATGTTACGATATGTTACGATACGTTTGTGAAGATTTCTTTGGGTCCTTGGCGCAGGCCTTCCAGGTCTCGAAGCTTTGGGTGAATGTGGAGGCCCAGGAGGGCGCTCGCCTCAGGGACCCTGCCCGGGATGTGGGTGTTGCTCACCAAAAAGGGATGCTGAGTGGGAACAAGGGTCCCTAATTTTGAGAAGCACTGCGGCAAATGAATTTGCATGATTGAAACCCAATGTGTGCTTTGCGGAAGGCCCTTTTCATGAAGTATTTTTGGAACCCCAAGACCAAGGCCTTGTGGACGCACCATCTAGATGATGTCCACCAAACGGTCATCAACCAAAGCTCATACTCTCTAAGAGGTAAAGGAGAGGTGTGTTGGAAATCCGCAGTTTCTGGTTCGTTGGGATGGTCCCAGCCCAAGCATTCTGCTTTAGGGAGGCACAGACTTCATGTGGAAAGCGGGGCTGGTGGCAGAAGCGCCTTGAAAAACAACTTGCCATCGACGCCCTTTGAATGGAAACGGAAGGATGCTATTTGAACATGCTTAGCAACACACCAGGATTCAAGAGTTTAAACATAATTGAACAACTCTTATATTTTAAAAACATGTTTAAACTGGTGGTTGGATCGAGTGACAATGCCTGAACATGGGAAGAGTTAGTCACCAATGCAGCAAGGAACCTCGGAGTCGATCAATGGCTGCACCACCCTCAAGAAAGACCCTGACGTGCCCAAGCAGAAGAGGTCCCCCATCCTGATCAAGAAGCCCCCAGCTACTGTTCAGGAGGGTCACTGTTTTGTGCCAAGATTTCGTCCTTCCCAGGAAACACTGCACACTTTTGATGAGTATCGAGGGACACCACAAATCATAGTCACCATTATTGCTCGCTAGTACGTCTCGAAAAACTGGCCCCAAGACGAGTCGGGGGTGTCCAGGAACCGCAGTAGTAGCAACTGCTCCCGTACCAA